TGTAGCATTCGGGCCACCACAGATCCTGAATGGCTGGTAATTAGCAGGAAAACAGCACAGATAATAAGCCCTTCTTTTCATGCTTTCATTACACTGCAGATCACATTGCGGCTGATTGCGAAAGAATGTATTTTATGGTTAACTTGAAGTAAGCAGAGAGGTAAAATTTAACTTGCTGGAAAGCCTCACACAGGGAAAAATGTGAACTGCTTTCTGCAGCCAAGTGCAATGGCAATGAGCTGAATGTGGTGGTCTGGGGACAGGACTGGAGAGCCCAGGGATGGAAAGACAACCCAAACAAGGACCTGGACAAACAGACTGTGTGAGGAGGGGTGGAGATTTGCAGCAACAATATCAAACAGCACCATTAGAAATTAGTTTCTCCTCTGCACTTGCTACCACGAGCTGTTCACGTATCACCCAAATACATTTGCATGTCTAATTTCTGACAGCACCCCGGGTTGCCCTGTTGTCCTGTTGATCCCGACGGTAGTGTCAGAGGCAACTTGCAGCCAAGTTCTCGGTGCTGGCAGGAGCAGCCTCTCTGGCTGGTGACTTTTGCCCTGTCTCAAAGCCATTAATGGGAGCTGTGGTTAATTTTTAATGTGACTGACAGCAGCACAGAAGCAAACCAAGATGTTGATGCATCCTGTGTGTGTGTGTGAGTATGAGCTGGTCAGTTCACAACCCCCCCGTTGGAGCTCTTTGGGGCTAAACACAGCAGAGACATCCTGGTTCTGGTTCCACTCAGCCTTGCTGATGTGCTGTTGTATTTATTCTTTTCTCTTTGGGTTCAATTCCTACGCCAAACCCATCGTGTGCACCTGATCCATGGGTTCCTCTGGGGTAGAAACCTCCAAGACCTTTCGGACCCCTTCCCCCCGAGCAGTGGGACCGGTCCAATGCGCCCTGTGCCCTGGACCGGTCCTACTCTTTCAAACCAGATTCACCCACAGGGAGGGAACCCCATAAGCATCCATGCAAACATACAAGTGACTCACCCCAAAATAGGAATTGCTCCCATCGCTCCAGAGCACGGCCAGGTCCGCGTTCTCAAACTCGCCCCTGTCCGACATCCCGAAGAGGAGCCCAAACTGCAGGTCCCTGATGAGGAGCTGGAAATTCACGGCTTGCTCAGGGTAGCTGACATTCCAGGAGAGCTCGAGCAGCCCCTGGGGATCGAGGGGCACCTTGTAGGGAAAATCACTCCCGCGGGGCGCCGAGCCCTGCAGAGCCACCACCAAGATGACCAGGAACACGGCGATCATGGTGAAGTACATGGATGCCACCTCCCGCAGCTTGAAGCTGGGGCAGGAGCAGGGCTTGCTCCCGAAAGTCTGCATGCTGCCCAGACAGCACCCGTGCCTGCCCCTTGCCCATTTATGTGCTGGCCCTCCTGGGCAAACTGGGTAAGTGATACTCTTTAATCGAATTTAGTTGTTGGGAAATTGGACAGTTGTATTGACACCCCCACCCCACCTTCTGGCTTTTGTCATTCGCTGCCTCCCCTTAATTGGCTCTAATTGCACATGGACATTATCAATAGCAATTGAATTCGACTGGGCTGATGTGATTCACTCTTAAATCTTCCTTAGTGGCTGGAAAGGGCTGTTGCCTCACAGGCTGCTCCTGCTGAGCCCTGCATGGACATGCTCTACCCTGCTCGTGGTGCTTCTGACCCGAGTCCCCATGTACCCCAGCCTGGGATCACCCCAAAGGTGGCCAAACAATTAGCACAAAGGAGCCCTGATCACATGCAGGGCTTTGTCTGGCCTCCCAGGCATTAGGTAATATTGGCAGTGTTTGAAATATTTTCCCTGCAAAGCTAAATACGAGAGAAAATGCTGATTTCCCCCAAACAGCCAGAAATGAAATCTCTTCTCTCCTGTCACCTCTCCTCTTCTCTCCTCTCCTCTCCTCTCTCCTCTCCTTTTTTGCCTTTGTGTGACTAATTTCTGGCCCTTCCAAACCCCAGCACAGCATCCAAAAATAAGGATTCCCATGCAAAGCCCAACTCCTCTCCCACCCCAGTTTGGCTCCCGTCAAAGCTCCTACCTCTCTGGACCATTGGATGTGATAAATATTTGTTATTTCTTTGCTTTTGTGGCAGCTGGGACTTCAGCTCCAGCTTAAAGACACCTTTTGTCTCTCCCCCTCCCCCTTCTCGTTCGTTTAAAGTCTGATGTATTCTCTTTCGGTTATTAACTTTTCTACGTTAATTGGAATTATAATGAACTGCCTCAAGCTCTTTGGTACACACACACTGCCTTGCTTTAGCCTCCGAGTTTGTGGTCTTGTTTTATTAATGCCAGCTCACGTGACAGGAGATGCTCTCGGATGCCTTCCGTGCGGAGTCCCCCCCAGTCCCCTTTGGGTCTTGGGTTTCACTCCTGGTCCTTGCAGCAATGTCACAGGGGCAGATCCACGTTTCCCAGCCCCGTGTAATGAGAGGAAATAGATTCAGCTCAGCGCCCGGGTGTTTTAATGAATCATCAGTGTGTGCATCTCTACGTTAAATTCGATGAGGTTTTACTGTCCTAAGACATAACCATTACTCAGGAATGCGTCAATTGATCCGGGGCATCTCTCCTTGTCGGGTGACCTGCTGGTTAGAGGGTTTGATCTCTCATTCAGCTTCATCAGGCAAAAGGCCAATGCAGAGAAAAAGATGGAGAGCTGAGCTCTCTCAGACGAGCATCCCTCAGCCCCATCCCACATCCCATGAGCCCAGTGATGCCAGGGAACAGCCCAGTCCCACACCAGCCCTCCCACTGCTGCTGCTGTCAGCCTCAAAAGCACATGTCTGCATAGCATGACATGCAGGAGGTCACTGGAGATGCCTGGGAAGGCTCCCACCATGGCATTTCTGAGAGGTGGGGTCGTATTCACTGGAACTGTGAATGGAACCCCTGCAGTGCCCTGGGGTTCCTGCCCGAGGAGCTGGATCTGCACCTCAATCCTTCCACAGCTCTGCTCAGCTTCCTGAAGGAGGATGCAGCATCCTCCTCTTTGCCTGAGGCTCCTGGGCTCATTCCTGGATGCACTGAAGGCTCAGATGGATGTCCTTCATCTTCCAGCCCTGGTGCTTGGGCAGACATCTGGCTGCATTACGAAAGCCCCTGAGAGCAGATTTCTGTCCTTCCCCATCCCTGACCTCCTCCAAGCAGATTCACCCACTTCTCCACCTCTCTTGGCTTTGTTTCCTCATTGTAAAGAGAAGAAGCTGAGCTGCCAGCACAGCAGGAAGGCAAGTGATCCTCACCAAGGGGCAGGAGGGGGTCCTCAGCTGACGAGTTCTGCCTCCCTGTATTAGAGATGAAACCCCAGGTTGCTGGCGTGTGCAAGTGGAGCTCCTGAGCTTTCCTGTACAGCAGGAATTTGCAGTGGCACAGCATAACACGGGCAGGTCAGCTTGAAAACAGCTGAACTTTGCAGATAAGCAGTAAGAATTTATTTGAAGAGGGGAAAAAAATAAAATGTATCTCTCTCTCTCTCTCCCCTTCAGTTTCTCCCTCGTCGTGGGTCACAAATCCAGGTGAGGAGCAAGGATCCAGCTTTCCATTCATTGCTTCGGGTGTTTATTTTAGGATTACAGTGAGATGTAGAAATGCCAGTTTCCTGTTGCTGGAACTCTGACCACTCAGAGCTGACATGGAACAGCTTCCCATGGGCCCAGTTCTGGGGGGTTCAGCCCCTTTCCTTGAAGGCAGAGCAGCAGCAGCAGCTTTCTGCCCACCTGTGAGCTCCTGACAGGGCTAATGCCAGCATAATTGTGCTGGTGCTAACACAGGAGCATCCTGTGCTGGAGATGAGACTCAGGTGTCCCCCTGTACACCCCATGTCTCTCCCCAGGCAGACCCTGCCAAACTCCCTGGCAGAAAAGATGCAAGAGCGGAGTGTGCTGTGAATCCCATACAAGGGCTGGTTTTGGTGGACAGTGCTCAGCTGAGTCTCCCAGGCCCCAGCTTGGCTGTGCTGGATGCTGAATGAACCCCAGCAGCAGCGTTAATCCCCCACTGGGTGTTACTGACCCCGTCCCTCTGCAGAGCCACACATCCAAACCCTCCTGGTGACAAACTGCTGTGGCCTTTCATTGCCACTAATGACCCTGGATGCAAAGCTGGAGATAAGCTGTGGGTTCCAGAGCCCTGGCAGCAGCAGTGCCTGACATTCGTGGCAGGGAGCTGGGGAAGCAGCTGCCTCCATCGGCAGGAGTGAGGGCTGCCTGCCTGGAACAAAGGCTGCCTTACAGGTAAGTGGGTTTAAACACAATTGATGCGCCAAATTAGGGACTGAAGCAGGCAGCACCCCTCGGAGCTATAATCCATTGCCTCACTAACATAAATGGAAATTCAATTTGGGCAAGGGCAGGGAGGGAAGGGAAGCTTTGCTGTCTGCTCCCACACGGCCAGTGCAGCTCTCCATGCCCCGGGGGCTCTGCCATCCACAGCCCCCATCCACAACCAGCCAGACCAGGATCGAATTTGCCTCGGTGCTGATGAGGTCTGGCAGTGTCTGACTCAGACTGGACCCGACGTGGTGCGGGAAGGGAGAAGAGGGAGTTGGCAAGTAGGGAAGATGCTCACGGGGATGGGCAACCAGGCAGGGTCTCAAGGACCCCTGCCCTGATGGCTGTTGTGTGCAATTTCTCTGGCCAGATCCACCTCTCACCCTTTATTCCAGAGCCATGGAGCTGGGACCAGACCAGTGGCTCACAGGAGGTGTTCCATATACATCCCAACGCCAGGAGAACTGTTTATAATCCTTTTCAAGGGATCACTTTGCTCAGTCTTCTTCCCATAACAAATCAGAAGGATTAGGGATCTGCCTGCTGACTGTTGGCTTCGTCATGCACTGAGAAGGTGCTGGGGGTTCAAATCCGAGTTTCAATTGCCCAACAGAGACACAGGTGAGTGTCTGTGCTCTCTGAAATGGTTTTAATGTCTCTGTGTCACCTGGGTCTTGCTGGGCCACAGTGAGCTGCATGTTTTTGCACAGGAACCTCCACATGTGACAGCAGCAGTCGCTGTTTAACCCACAGATGTGCCAGGTGACAGTCAGGACAGGACACTTGGAGGAGACTGTGATCCAGCAGCAGTGAGAGGGAAGAGCCATTCCCTCCTCCTTGCATGTGAGTTTGTGCCTTACAGCACAAGAAAAACAAAGGCTGTAACATCCCTCTTGTTAAACCTCTGCTTGTTCCAGCTTCTTGCTTTCTCCTAACTTGTTTTGCCTTCCTCAGGACAAAATTTTCTTTTCCTTACACCATGTAAGAAATCCTCTGCCTCATCCTCAACGAGGACCACATCCAAAGGGAATCCAGCCCAACCATGCAGTTGGACCTCCCCACTGGCACCAGAGTAATCTCCCTGAATCAGAGACAGAACTGGACATCAACTGCTCTTTACAGCTCGAACCTGCTGCTCCTGCTCTGACAAGGACTGCCATGACTGAGGATCTCCATCACTTCTGCCTCTCTTCCTGGTCCAGCCGTGCACCCATAGACCTGCTGCAGAGCAAAAGGTGGGTGGCTGGGCCATGCCATGGTGAACTGGTGGTGGGACAGCAGGAGAAAGGCCAAAATTAGCCAAAGTAGAGCATCGTTTCTCTTTGGGAGGTGCTGCCTCGCCAAGGGCTCGAGGCTGGGTGGGCAGCCAGGCCCCTTCCCACCAGAGCAGCCCAGAGAAACTCCCTCCCCAGTGCTGCTGCAGCTGAGCCACCTAATGAGATCTAGTCGCCTGTGCATGCTATATTAGGGTTTCCATGGATATGGTGTCACAAACACTGGGCTGTGGCTTTGTTATATAAACAGGAGAGATTGCCACAAATACCCGAAATATCTGAAAAGGACAGGAAGAGACAAAAGCGTTCTCTGGGCGTGTTTATAAAGGGTTGGTGTGATCCAGGGGACAGTGACAGTGGGAGGTGGGAGAGATTTGTGTGAGCTTTGAGAAGTGGAGCATAACCGAGTGGTGGTCTCCGACTTGGGAGCTCTGGAGACTCGCTTCAATCTTCAACATGGTTTTTCTAAAATGATCAAAAAAAGGTGCTTCTGTCTGGGCTGTTACTGCCCCTGCTCACACCTGAGATCTGGACTCCTTCAGCTCACAGTGTGATGTGCATCGTTCTTCAGGTTCAAGTTCATCCTGGCTGAGCTTCACACCAATCCTGGTCCTCCGCTATTCCTGCCACATGCAGAGAGATTCTGCTTCCTGCAGCTGGTGGGGACCAGGGCTGGTGATGGTGGTGGAGACACACAGCCATCAGCACTCTCAGAACTGCCCACACCTCACCCTGCTCTGCAAGACCATCCTAATTTTGTACCATTTCAGGTGCAGAAAGTCCTCTGTACAGTTTGAGGAATCATGTAATGTGAAGAAAAATCTGCTCTAGAATGGAGGTGGGCTGCAAGGGACATGGAGACATCAGAGTGGCTAAAATTGTATTGCACTCCCACTCCCCTGCCAATAAAAACACCATAAATAAAGTGGCTTTGCAATAACCATCTCCACGCACTGAAACACAGATTCATGTATCCCCACAAAAGATGCTCTGAGCAGGATCAACTCTGCTCTAGCCTTGTTCTTCAGGAGAGGCATGAGAAGCTTGCTCCAGTCCTACCATGGAAAGGGCTCTTCATCCAGCAGATGCTACCTCAGTGCCTTCCTTTTTCCACCCTCCACGCTCACTTGTGGGTGACATTCCCAGCCCATGGCTACTTCAGCTCATTCCTGGCCTTCCCAGTGCTCTTCACCATGGGACATCCATCCATCCATCCATCCATCCATCCATCCATCCATCCATCCATCCATCCATCCACTTGTTTTCTCTCCTATTGTTCCCCCTGTGCAACCAAGATGACATATTTCCATGCTTCATCATCTGACGTGGTGGAGAATACCAAATTTGGTAAGGAAAGATCTGCTTTATCATTTAAAAACACGCCAAATCCAGTTTTTGCTCTTCAGATATAGGACACCCTGCATCAGCTGCCATCCTTGATTTTCCAGGACCCATCTTAATTTTCATGAAGTGTTCTCTCCCATCTCTGGAATGGCAGGGAAGAGTTTTCTTTGGTTTGGTAAGAAATAACAGCAAGAGGAGCTGGAATCTGCTGTGGGCGTTGGTCCAGGGCCGTCTGCCACATGAATTTCCAGGGGGGTAGGTTGGTTCTGAGCCCTCCCGCATGGGGCTCTGCTCTTTGATGCCAGCCTTTCTTCTTGCTTTTCCTCTAGCCATTGCTTTCTGGCACTAAGCTGCTTCCTGAAGATTGCACAGCAAGACAGATCAACTTCGAGGGGAGCTGATCCAGGAGAGGACATGGGGCCAAAAGAGCCTGAGGAGTCTGAAGATGCAGCTTTATCAGCTTAGCAAAAGGGCTGGTGCATCGAATGGCAAAGGCTGCAGGCCCTGTGTGCTTGAGGTTTGTAATGGGCAAGTTAGCAGAAGGTCTAAAAAAGAGCAGAAAATTGTGGATTAGTGAGATTTCCTTCAGAAAACTCAGTGTGGCTTCTGTACAGGGAGGGTTTGCCCTACAAACCCCTTGACAACCTCAATAAGCTTGAAGAGGAAGGTGTTTGTGGGAGATATGATCTCTTTGGCTTTCCAGGTCTGTGACAGAAGGCTCTGCACTATTCCCACCACAGCCCAGACGCCCATGGAAGGATTATTCCCCCAGCACCTCCCAACCCCCTGGTGCCAGCAGTCCCCCTGGAATCCATGCCTCTTTATAAGGGGAAACGAGGGAATCTATGGTGAGCATCCTTACCCTCACCTCCTGCCTCTCCAAGCCCTTCCTGTTGCTGGCACTTCCACCCTCAGCAGCGGCTGTGCAGGATCACGTCCCAGAGAGTCTGGCACGTCGTGTCGGGTGCAGAGGCAGGAGCTGACGGGTGTGATGTGACGTGATGTGCCAGGCAAGCCCTGCCACGGAGCAGCCTGTGAGTGTGCATCCCCTCAGAGCACCCCTGACCCACGTTGCTCCAGCTGAGGTTGATGTCACCCCGTGAGCCGTGGCATATGGTGCTGGTCACGGGCTGGGGATGATTAACACAGCGAGTCTGGGGCGCACTGGCTCGGGGCACTGGGTAACTCATCTGTTCGGGTTAAAGACGCTGATTTGAGCAGCAGCTCCTCTCTGTCGTTTCTTTGTTAACTCTTTTAAGCAGATTCATCCCGTGACGCTCTGAGGTTGTCGCCTCCAAGGACAGAAACCTGTCGGAGTAACATGTGGCAGACCTGGCCCCAGGGCATCTTCAACTTCGCTCCTGCCTGAAGCAGCATCCTGAGCCACAGCAGTGGGAGCAGCAGGTGCAAGGACCCAGTTATGGGCAGTTTTCAGGGCTGTATTTATAAACCAGGTGGTTCTGACATTGTGGGTGGTTAAAGCAGAAGGAGAAAGGCTGCTACGGAAGAGCACAAATTCGAGATCAGGCTACTGTTCTCACCACTATAAAATTTGCATTTAAATCCAATGATTGAGGTGCTCCAGGCAGGTGCCCACATCCCAGAGAGAGCAGGAGGATGCAGTGGAGACCTTTGAGGCTGCTGCTGTGAATATTTGGGATCATCTTGGGGACTGTCTGAGAGAAAGAATCTCCATAATCATGGGGAAGAGTCAGAGAAGAGCACCCAGTGCTTCCATCAGGACCGGAGGGTGTCTGTCACTGTGAGGAGCTGAACCTCAGAGCTTCCTGCTGCAGCCTCCTCCTGCACAGCTGCACACACAGGGTCCTGTTTACTGCTGGGGAGCTTAAGGCAAAAACAAATGCCAGAGAGCAGCAAAGGAAAAGGAACAGAAAAAGGGTGTATTTGGCAGGTGTATTTGACCAGGTTGTGTTGTCAGTGTACCTGGCTACTGCATCTGAAGGGTCTGTGATGGGCAGGAGTTGATTTATAGAGACCTAACACTGTGATTCCCTGTAGGACCAAAGCCCTGCACAAGCAGTGGGATGCTTTAATAATATTAAGTGCCCTTTGCTACCCTATTTCAGGTGTCTGTTTATTTTTTTGCATCCCTGGGAGGCCACACACTTGGTGTGCATCACATCCACCAGAATGCAGTTGCTGAAAGAGTTTTCAGTCTGGAAATGCCACTACTGTCCCCCAGGCCAATGGAGGACTGGGAATACATACAGGGAGCTGGGCAGTGTTTCAGCAGCCAATTGCTCCCAGCAATGCCCAGGTTTGGTTGTGGTTTTTGGTCACGTATCAGTCTCAGACAGTAGGTGCCTTCAGGGTCATGACAACCAGGTGGGAACCTGCCCTTCCATGATGGGCACGCACTGGGAGTTGCTCCCTGGGGATGGAGCAAGCTGGAGGGGGGAAAAAAAGCCTAGGGAGAGGCTTTGGATGCTGAGTGGTGAGAAGATCATACAATATTCCTGGGCAGTTTGCTCCCAAGTCCTGAGTCACGTGTGAGGAAACCAAGACTTTTTGGTTGCAGGAATGTGAATACACAAACTCTACGAAGGATTTACACCAAAAATAACCCACTGGGGGGAGGGGGGGGAAGCAGGTGGCCATAACCTGAACACTGTACTTAAGACTTAACAAATGATTTGGCTTCTGGCTGCTGCTGGTCTGTTTATCCCACAGACTTGGCAGGCACAGGACACTTCCCAAATGTTGAGGTTGATGAAAGTTGTGGCTGGCCAGCTGCCAGCTCTCGAGGCTATCAACTGGATCTCAAACTGTGGATGCTAATTAGCACTTTCCTTCTGTAAAAATTTACGTTGCAAAGTCACGGGAATCGGGGCTCTTTGCGCTCTGTGTTTGTACAGCCCCTGACACGACCAGATCGTGCTCGTGACGGAGGTCTTGTACACCACTGCAATATGGAAATATATTATAAAAACCTTTTTCTCTTTCATAGGTAACTGATCTTCACAGAATTGCTCTTAAGGTAAGCAAACCTCATCTTAGAGCCCAGAAAACAAGCTCTGTACTCACACAAGGCAGCCCAAGCATTTGCTAAGTCCTTGTTATAACATTGTTTTTCCTTGATTCTATCCTGGGCTCAGCTCAGTGAGAATTGCTTTGACATCTCCCTGGGAAGCAAGGAGGATCTTTATTGTCGTACAGGAGTCCAGGCATAGAAACCAAAATGAATGGCCCAAGCAAAGAACCTCCATCATTCATATTTCTGAGCAAGGATACAATGATAAATTGCCAGACAATGGCATTTGACCAGTACAAGTAACAAAAAGCTAAAATTGGTAGGGTTTTTTTTTTTGTTCCTGGCACAGCTTTTAAATATCTTTTGCACATGGTTCAAGCAACCTTGAAGAAAAACTGAAGAGCAACCACAACATAGACAGTTCAGTACTAAGTGATACAATATAAATTAATTAAACAATAATAGCCTTAAGTAGATTCTCTAAAGATAAACTGAATTTTGCCCCCTCACTTTGATTTCCTGTCATCAGAGTGAGTGGTTTGCCTCTCAGATCTCTGCACAGGCGTTTGAACTGCATGCAAAGTGTGCTGAAATTGCTGGCGGTAATTAGTTTATTTGTTGAGCAATTAATTAAATGCGACTGTTTCCCTCTCCATGGATTAAAGGAGTGCTGTAAGTGATACCATCTTAAAAAGAGCAGATGTGCTATAAAAGCCCTGATTATTCTCATCAGTCAAGAAGGACAGAACAAGTATCGATAGGCTGAAACTGCCAAAGGAAAAAATTAAGTTAGTTCTTGGGAATAAGCTTGGGAATGCCAAAGGAAGTCAGGCCAGGGACAGGAACACTGCGGAACACAAGGCATACGTCCTGTTGGACAGAGGGAATCCAGGCTGGATGTGCTTGTCTTCCCAGCATCATTTCCAGGAGGCTGGGAGAGGCGATGGCCTGCAGAAGGGTCCGTGTGCCCAAGGAGTTCGGCAGCTTGCAGACAACACGGGTGATGCCAGCTGAGACTGCTGACAGGGCGGGCAATGAGGCAGGGCTGGCAGGGCCTTCCGAGACATGCTGAGCATCCTTTGTGCCCAGGAGAGCTCTGCTGGGAGTCTGGGGACCAACGGCTGCAGAACACGTGGTGGGAGCTGGGGCGCTTTGTGCTCCCTCGTCCCACCGGCTTGGTTATGGCTGTGGTGGTGCCTCTGCAGGCTGCCCATCTGCTGGAGGGGTAATGCCGACTCGGATTCAGGTTTTGTCCCAAACTCTGTTTTTTTCAGATGTGGGAGGTCATCACAACCCCAAGACTAAGGAAATCTTGTGAATCACCGCTCCTGCACTTAAGAAGCCTTGTGAATCACCGCTGCTGAACACGCCCCGCGCGGCATCAGCGTCTTTGGAGAAGGCTGCGGATGAGGACTCTATGCTGAGGTTGTGCTGGAATGGGCATGGATTTGGGAAGAGGAGAGACAGTTCCTCTCCAGGGGTGTCTATTAATGGAACCAAACAACCAAAACCCCAGCACGGCTCCTGATAAATGGAGCAGGGAACAAAGTCATGGCACCTGTAAAATGCCCTGGGACCCTTGTGGGGCTAAACAGGGGATGCTGCAGGGTTTGCTTTGGCTTTCTCCTCTTTATCCCCGCACCAGGGATGGGGAGGGGGATTCTTTTCCTGCACTGGGGATGAGGAAGGAGATTCTTTTCCTGCCCCAGCATTGGGGATGAAGGCTCCTTTGGCCAAACCAATATCCCCCGCCTCTGTCGTGGGTGACGCGGCTCTGTCAGGAGGAGATCCGGCTGCAGGATGGTGTGGCCCGACTCCCGGGGGTTGAGTGGTGGTCCGGCTCCGCAGAGGGATGACCCGTGCCTATATGGGGATGCCCCAGCTCTGGCGGGAGTGACCCATCTCCCAGGGGCTGTCCCCGCTCTCCCCCCGAGTGTCCAGCACGGACCCGCATCCCAGTTCCAGGGGGAGGGGGGAGGTGTCGGGACCCGGCGTCCGCCTTCTCCCTTTCTCCGCACCCCGGGGTGCGGGTGCGGGGGGGTTGCGGTGCGGGGGGGCGGCAGCACGCGGCGCTGCCCGTGCGGCCCCGGCGGGGGGCTCGGGGGGGCGCAGCTCGGCCCGGCCCGGCCCCGCTCGGCCCCGCTCGGCCCCGCTCCGCTCCCGCCGCCGTCATTGGCGGCCCCGGCGGCGCTGGGGCGCGGGGCGGGGAGGCGGGAGCGTCCCCCGCAGAGCCGCCGCCGCCGGCCCGGCCATGTGCCGAGAGGGTGGCTGCTGCTGCTGCTGCTGCTGCTGCTTGCTGCCGGCTGCCTGCTCCGCGCTCCGCTCCCCAGACCGCTTTCTTCCTTTTGTTTTTATTTTTTGAATTTTTTGTGGTTTGGTTTTTTTTTTTTTTTTTTAAGTCCTTTATTTTGGCGTTGATGCTCTGCGAGCGGGAGACTTCGGGAGACGCGGTCCTCACCTGAGCGATCCAGCCCCATTCCCCCGTTTGAAGGTAAGCATGGCAGGACAACCTCCTCCCCCCCCCGGCTCTGCCGAGCCCCTTCTCCCCGTCGTTCCCAGCGCTGGGGTCTTTCGCGGTGTTTTTCCCCCTGTTTGCTTCACTCCCGCCCCCGCCGCCCGCTTCCCGGTGCATCCTGAACTGCCTGGGATCGCTGTTCCGAGGGAACCGGCAGCGAAACCCGCATCCCGGGGGGATACCTTCAAGGAGGGCAGCAGGCAGAGGATAGCCCCGGCTGCCAGGAGTGGGGCTGGGAAGGGGTTTGGAGGGGGGAGACAGAGCGAGTAGGACATGGAGAACTGCACAGCGTCTGCTCCCCTATAGCCTGTCTCAGGGGGGACTGGGCAAGTCCTGCCACCTTAGACCAACATGAAAAATACTGAGGTGCTCAGGCTTGGTTTTCCCTGGTCCTACAGCATCTTCAGTTTCAGAGCCATGCCTGTGAAGGAGGTCGTGAAAGCATCTTACAGGGATGGAGTGGGAAAGCTGCCCCCGTCCCATGCCTTTCCTGGGTGTGCAGATCGTGTCCTTCTCTTCCATTTCATCCTCCTTTGCACGCTCAGCATGGGACTGAAACTGGGCTCTCTAAATAACCTGTCTGGGCATCTCACCTGGGGCCATGTGTCTAGGACAAGGGTTTGTTCCTATCTCATGTCCTGGCTCTGAAGGACGTCAGAATCCTCTGCTCCATCCCAATGAGTTCATAGAGACCACCCCAGTCTCGGGTTAGGCAGCAAACCAGCCCACTAACTCACACTCAACAAAGCAGTGGTGATGGAGAGGGATCCAGAGCTGCCTGTGAGAAAGGTGATGGCACAATTACCTGTGGGTTGTTTTTGTCACTGTTTCATGAATAGAGCAGCCATCTAGGTCTGTGCTCTCAGAGGCACATGGATATTGCTCAGTACATTAAAGGTAGCCTGAGGGCTCGGGGGAGCTGTGGGAGGGAGAGAGAAATCCCCCAAGGGAAGATGGCTTTTCATTTCCCCATATCGACCGGTTTCAGACAGGATTATTTATATTTGACATAACAGATCACCAAACTTGGAAGGTAGTGGGGGTGTGCTCATACTCATTAAGGTAGACAGTTTTCTGACAGAATAAATTAAAGGTAAGAGAAGACGGCACTTTGAGGTTCAACAGATTGTCTTCTAGCCTGAAATGAGCAGCGAAATCAGCATAAAACCTGGGTGGGAAAATCGTGTACTTGAGTCTGTGATGACGAATGTCTGTCATTTTAGGCAACCTGGTGGGTTATCCCAATTTTTAGAGTGCAGATGGTGCTCCTGGGTGACTTCTTTGAGCGAAAGTACCCAGTGTGATGGGTTTTTTAGTCATCATATCTCGTCCTTACTGAGTAAGCATCTAAATTATAATGCTGTAAGGGAAAGTAGTTTACATAAATTGTGCATGAAGTGAGTGCCTGAACTATCCCACACCTGTGTTTAGGCTCTTGCCCTGTTGCAGTGGCGTGTGAAGAACTGAAGGTTGTTTGCAGCCTCTGTGGATGGTTTTCATCTTGTCTGAAAGGAGCAGAAAGACGCACTAGGGCTGTCAGTGGGTGAAAAGAGATTTTAAACACCTTAAAGACCATGCAACTGTAATTAAAAGTGTAACCTCCTTCCCCCGCGTGTCAGGATTTCTGTGCAGAACGATGACAGGACCTCTTTGGGAACGGTGCTGGTGCTCAGTGGAGATAAAGAACTTCCACAAAATCCCCCGCAAAGTGATTGATGTTGATTTATCACCCCTCAGTACATTGGTTCTCGTTTAGAAAGGATGTGGGGATGTGAGGGGAAAGGAAGGGAACATCATTTGTTCCTTTCTGTTTTATTGTCAGTGAGCACAGATTACAAATAACAGGCAGTTCTTGAATACCTGAGCTTGGAGAGTTGCAGAACATCACCCGCGCCGTGGTTACTGGCTGTATCTTTGCCTTGTTTCTCTTTGTTTCCCATCAAAGCCTGGTAGCTCTGTCTGGCTGTCACGTCTCCTGATCCTTTTCCACTGCACCTGCAGCAGTCCCTAAACCCTCATGTAGGTGACACAAGAGTCAAACCTGAAGGTTTGCTCTCACGGGCTTTGCAATCTGAGGAGAACGTGTTCGGAAGTGGCCCAGGGGCAGAGGACCCGCTCGCTGCCCGTGGATTAAATAACCCAAGTCTTTCTAAAGGTTTCCCGTGTCTGAAGCTGAAGAGCACTCACTGACCCTACAGCCACACCTGAACACCCCCTTAGGATCTTGAAATGTTTCGCTGGGTGCCAGATGCAAAGAGATAAATGTACTTAATTCCCTGGGACATTTATGTGCAGCCCAGAGAGCTTCGCTGCATCCTCACAGGCTGAGAAAGTCTGTGCCACTGACCTTTGGGCATGTCAGGATATGTCCTCAGAGCCCAGCATGTGGGACACTGAGGGGTTTTGCAGCTGACCAAGCTGTAAGGGATTTGCCTAACTCAGACCTTTTTGTCTGGCTGTGCAGTGCCCAGTTGCATTAGTGCTGGTGTAAGAAACGGGGATAACTTGGTACCTTCTCACCTGGCCTGCTCTGGTACCTGTCTGTTGTGTTGTCATGGATATGGATGTGGATAAGGACAGGCCAGGGAAGAGGTGCTGCGTGCTGGCAGGGCTCCCGCAGCCACAGCTTGTGATGCAACTTTTGACATTGAAGGGCAGGTGTTTGGGTTGAACTGCAGCTCATTCCCCATCTAATTTACACTTTCTCCCATGTCATTATGTGTCATCTCCTTCTCTCCTTGTGATCTGATTTATTGTGGTGGGATTGGTTCACCCTTTGCCCGAGAAAACAGCTTATATCCCAGCACTGAAGATTGGCAGCGGGATGACAAATAGGTTTGGGTGATGGACTCTGACCCTCTTCAGACCTTTCAGCCACATTCAGATCACAGCCAAGGCCAGCCCAGGCAAGGCTGGGACCTTAGGAACCCGTGAGCCCTGCGAGAACAGCCCTGGGCAGAGGGCGACTGGAAAGGTTGGGGAACAAAATTAAAGGTCATAATAACATTTTGAAATATCCTTGGACCTATTTCTCCCTGGAAAGGCTAATAGCAGCCATGACCCATTAATAGCAGTTCAGTGCACCAGCAGGAGGACGGGGCTCCTCTGGGGATGTGGTTCTCAAGGTGCCTGTGTCAGAGGCAGCACTGAGGGGGGCAGGACTTGATTTAGGCCAAAATCACAATGATGATGATTTTGTCCCATCCTACGTGTCCAAGAGCACAGATTTCTCACTGGAGCCAGGGGCAGCACTGTGAGCTGCAGCCTGGGACACTGCTGGGTGCCAGCACTTCCATCAGCGTGCACGGGTGCTCCCTTTGGCAGGGCATGGAGTGGAGACAAGAGATGAGCCGAGGGCTGGGGAGCTTTGTTACCCTCTCACTTCAGGCAGTTTTCTCTTGCTTGTTGAGCGAGCACCTGTGATGGGTCAGAGCTGACGTTTGACTTCCCTCACAATAATGGCACAAGACGGGCTGAGACACCGCGAGGGCAGCTCAGCCCAGTCTCACCTTCTCCAGTGCTTCTCTCCCGTCTCCCACCTCCAGGACAAAAGCCACCTGCGGTCACACACCACCCTGCATGGATGTTGTGAGCTTTGCTTGACAGCTACACTGATTTTTTCCCGAGCTGGAAAGTGTGTGCCTCTGGAAACTGCCCGTGAGCTGCCAGGAGGGAGGGATGCGGCTCCTGCGTGGAGCTGAGTCGAAGGTGCACGCAGCTCTGCTGCCCTGGGAAACATCTCTCTGCTCCACAGCCTTTATCAAAGAGATGGAAACTTGTCATATTCTTTTTGCAACAATATCTGACATTATCCAAGCAATTTGCCTTTGGTGTGTTTCCAGAAATAGTTAGGCCTACAGTAGACAGGGGTGACATCTGGATGCATTACTGTTGAGTTCAGAAACATGCAGTAAACAAGACAGGATCTTTTGTTTAAAGGTTATTTCAAAAGGCTCCCAACGAGTTATCTGGCCGTGCAATGGGGAAAGCTTTAATGGCATGGTGATAATTGCCTTTTTCTGAAGGACATTTTAGAGGAAAGTTACCAGAAACCCAAAAGAAAGTCTTAGCCTGTCCTCACCAGGTCAGGGACCTGATCCAACCTGAAAACTAGGAGAGGTTTTCTCCTTACTTCAGTGCTGGCTGGATCAAGCCCAGGAAATACATGCCTGGCTGTGGGAATAGCAGGCTGGGGGGCAGAGATGGGGGATGCAGGAGAGATCACCAGCGGCTCAACAATAAAAAAAAAGTCTCAGATCAGCATAATAGGGCAGCAGGATTCACATCAGCAGGGAGGGCGAGAGAAAGAGCCCTCCCCGAGGCTCTGAGAAGAAAATAAATGTCATTAGCAATGGATAAAGCAACCGCCTCTGAGCACCTGAGACGAGGGTGGGAGGCTGTGCAGGGAGAGGGGGGCTGGTGAGGACTGCCAGTGCTCAGAGGGCTCACTGAGGCCGCAGCAGGAGCCACTCTGCAGCCCACGTATTTATTCATCATGTCCCTGTTTGGTTAATAGCCTGCTCGTTAAGAAAAGAAAAAGGAGGGCAAGTGAATTCCTGGCAGAAGGCAAGTGCCAGCCATCCTCCCCTTCCCTCACCCAGGTGACAAGGATGCTGCTCACGTGGCAGAAGGGAAGAGATGTGGCTCTGCTGTCACTCACACACCTGCAAGTGCTCCTGGCAGGATACACTGCTGGCCACTTACCTCAGCCCCGGGGCAGGCAGGACTAATGCTCACTGATAATTTCATGCCCCTTTGAGAGCCCTGATGGGGAGGAAATCATGTCGTGGTCTCACATATCTTTGTTTGCTTATGTGTTTCTCTGAGAGGGCAGCGGGAGTGAGCGAGTGGAGCTGACTGGAGCACTCTGCCTGCAGCGGGACCATCCCATCCCAGGCACTGGCTCCAGCCCTTCTCTGCCTCATCCAGTGCTGCTGTGAGGTTGTGTCAGTGCTGCAGAGAGAGTCGGTGCTGGT